TTTCTGGGTCTGGTTGAGGTGATGGGGTATTGTTCACATGGATCACCGCATATTTATTAACTTTCATGGAGATCACTGGGGACTCCTTTGATGTCAACTCATCCCTTGCAAGCCAAAGTAGGTCAGGCGCAGAACTCCCTTTGCCTTTGATTTTAAACCAAATATGAAGAGCTGGCCTGACTACAGAGTAGGGCAACATTTGCATCGTTAAGTGCTCTGGAACGATGTCCGAAACCAGGACAAACGAATTCTCCCTAGTTACAAATCGAGGTATAGCCGGTCACCTTGCTGAGATAACACCTCGCAGATGGCAATGCACATGTGAATTCTCCATGGACCCCTTTTATTCCGGTCCTTGCCCAGGAGAGAGGGAATTCATAAGGAGCCTGTGAATTACTACTGCTTATGGTAGAGGCTATTTCTAGCACTTAATCCTGCATTTCTCATAGATACAACACAAAAGCTTGGGGGATCAAGTACTCTACAAGGGAATGTAATTTCAATTGACTAGAGCAGCTGGAACACAAAGCAATATTTGCTGGAAGAGCCTTGAGGGAGCACAGGAGAGAAACTTTGGGACAAAGAAGAAAGGCAAAGTGGTGAAGGAGGTTATTCATCCCATTTTTGAATTAACTTATGCTTCAATACAATCTTCACTCACAACGTGGTAGTCAGAGCATGCTGACTGCTCTATAAGGGCTCAGCAAGAACCCTGATACATGCAGATGACTTGTACAAGGGTGAGAATGAAATGCAGCCTGCTTGCCCATAAATAGATTTGCGTTTTTTTGTTTATGTTTTGTTCTGAAACTGCTTTGTACTCCAGCCTGGAATAACTCTTTTCTCCCACATTTCTCCTTCTTGGCTGGATCAGATGTGCAGCCACAGCTGTTTGCTAGGATTGTTCCTTCTCCTTGCTCCCTCCCCTCCAAATTCTTCAGGACATTATTTTCTTGAAGCTTTTCTCAATAAGAGTTTAATCAAACAAAACAAAAACACAGCAACCCGCCGCTTCTTGGACAGTGTTTGATGTGTAAATATGTAAAGAAGGAGTGTTTTGAAAATGCAATCAGCTACCTCCAGGGGACTTGAGTCCTACAATAAGCCAAGGTGACTCCACAAGGGAGATATGTGCTCCTGCAAGATTAAATTCCAGCTGCAGTGGGAGCACGGGTGACCAGAGGCACAGCTAAGCCACTTCTTAAAGAGACATTTTTAGAATAACAGCATGATTCTCCTCCAGGCCAGGCAGCATGCTCCTTCCTGCATATTGTCAACCAGGTCCTTCCCTCGGGTCAGCATTGCTATCAGTTCCCACCCTGCAGCTCTGGGAGTTATTTGTCCATTTTGCTCCGTCTTGCCTCTGTGAAGCTGAGACGATTCATACCTCTGCACTCTGCAGATACTCACAGGTTTTATGGCCATATCAAACTTTGGGGAGAAATAGCTCCTAATATTTTACTCGTTACCATAGAGTGAAATACCTTGCGCATACAGTGTACGCTTTATGTCAGAATTACTGTGATTGCTACCAATTAAGTATACGGGAGGTGACTCCAAGGAAAGCCTGCAGCAGTGCTGGTCTTCTAGCAGGTCAGGAGATACACTGCATATAAGCTCCTGTCTTGCAGGGCTCAAGCAGAAGACTTCTTATCTTGTTCTCATCCTGCTTAAAGGGTTCTTTTCTGCTGCTGTTATTATTGAATAAAATACACTGCAAAAATTAATATAGTGCAACTTGATGAATGAGTCCTGCTGCTATTTATACTTTTTTCGTAAACAACAATTCACAACACTATTAACTTTAAACTTCCTCTACACCTAGTTCAAATTTGCAGTTGATGGGTTTGTCACAGCATGCTGGCTTCCAGTTATTCTGTCTGTGATGCTCAGGAACGTTAATGATGTCTTATTTTGAAGAGACTCGCAGGAGCGGGGGCTGTATGCCTACTTATAATTTCTACAATGCAGTGTCCCCTTGCAACAAAAGAAAACATATTCAAATGACATTTATCTTCTCATTTAAAAGTCTATTTAAATAATTTTCCACCTTCTCTCTAATAATATAGACCAGAACTCACTCACTTTCACAGATGCAGCTCTGAAATTTAAAAGATTGGCCCTGGCTTTTGGGGAGCAATGCTGTTATTCAAAAAGAAATGTTACTCCTCAGTAATAGGGAGCTGGTACATGGTTGTGTACTCAGCATGAGGATTATCGGGTGCTGAATTGCTGCAGGCTCCACCTTTTAGATATGATGCAAAACTGATGCTCCTACCACTGTGTTCACTTGCAAGCCCAAGAGGATTTTTCCATCAAGTCTGCTAATCCCTGTGTTCAAATTCCAGCTTAAGTAATTGCAGACTGCCTATGGTTCTAAGCAGAGACATTAATCACCCCTCCCAGCTCAGAGGCGGTTGTTTCAGTGGTGGGCAAGGTAATCCCTGCATAAAACAGCTAGAAAGTGTTTTGGTCTCCTTCTGCATGTCTAAGCGTTGGCTGAAACTCCAAGCAATTTAATGTATTCAGGTACGATACCAGGATATCAATCATGATGACTGGAGATAAATTATCAGGTTATTTGTTGAGGAATTAAGGGAAAAATTCGAATCTGTGTTCAGTTTGGAGCTTCAGAATTTTTTTGGAAAATAAAGCAAATGATGCCCAGATCTGAAAAAGAAGCAGTTCCTTTACTCTAGCTGAAAGCACAAGAAAAAAGACAGTTTGCTGCTGTTTGATAAACTTCAACAGCAAAATTTGCCTTTTTTGGTCTCTACCCACATACATCCCAGCAAAATGACCCTCTCCTTGGGCTGTTTCGTATACACCATGTCAGGTTCTTCATACATCTTCAGAGAAGAGCCTGGCAAAGGCAAAAGAGATTTCCTAGGTGTTTTGTGTCAGTCCTATCTACAGTCAAGGCAAATATCCTCATTGTTTGCAGCCTTTAGCTTAAAAACAATGGCACTCTTTGGCAGATGTTTTCCTTTGCTTGCTCTCATTTCTGGGATGACCTTCTTTTACGAGAAAAGAAACACTTGCTGTTCATTTTTCCTGCGCTTCACCATGCAGCACCTTCTCCAGTCGGTAACATTCCTGCAGCTGCTGGACTTTGCAGACTCTTGAGAAATGGTGTTTTTGCAATGAAATAATTATTCCTGATTGAAGTCTTTGTTGGGCTGATCTCTCAGAAAGGCTAACAATGAGCACCATGCTAGGCATGCACTGTGTGTGAGAGACAGAATACCACATACTTGTACATACAATAAAGATGAAAGGCTTGTACTGTAATTAAGAGCATGGGATGGTTTAATCCTGAAATAGCATCTTGCTGATGCAAACAAGGTCTGTTTGTTTTTTATATGCCTATTTGGGGAATGGCTGCTCTTCAAGTAAACATTCTTTTTTGCATGCAAACACCAATATTTACCTTGACAAGATAGTTTATTATCATTCTTAATTTTCTCTTCCTTTGAATGTTTCCGTTTTCTTAACAAGATGGCAAAACCATTGTATGCATAAACAACCTCGAGTGAACAAATTACCACAGCTTAACACAATCCTGTTCATCAGCTGAGCTGCAGTACCTGACCATAAGCATGTTCTTAGCATTCTCCACTCCTAAATCACATATTAGTTTATGTAATGTTTAAGGTGGTTTAAGATACCATATCTTATTTAGCATTTTTAATAGGCCAAATGTGCCTAAGTGACAAGTTCTCCATTTGTTAGGCATTATTCCTTTTTGAAAGGTGACAGATGAAATGAGAAAAACATAAATGCTGGAAGTTACATGGTGCAACACCACATAAGCATACAAAACAGGGCAATTGAGAATATTTTTAGGTGTAAAGAGGATAAGGAGAAAGGAATTCACCACAGAAAAGAAAGCAAACCTATCTCAATAACTTTATCTATCTCACTGCCTGACTGAACCTCGGGAAATACAAAGGGAAGCAGAGCTAACTTTTGCTGAACTCCTACTTGGCCTCATGATTCAATCTCTGTTGCCAAATTCAATGAATTAAAAGAGGCAGTGGATGTGCAAAGAGACAATGTGGCTCTGTCTTCCATTATCCCAGCAAGGGAGATTAATAAATGTGATTCCAGTGTCTATTTTCCCTTATAGTCAAGTGAACCTGCACACCAGTTTACTTCAGTTTTCTCCAGACTCCCCTGAAAATGAACCTGTCTCTCAAGTGCTCTCAGCAGATAAATGACAATACATAAAATACAGACTTAGAAAGTATTTCTGTAGCAGGATGATGGAGAGACATAAAAGACAGGGTAGCTTATCTAGTTCTTTCCATCAGCCCTATTGGGACTTTTCCTGTCCCAACAGATGTTCTCCAGTGCTTTGCCCAAGCTAGTTTTTAAAAAATAAAACTTCCATCACTTCTCTTGGGAAACTGTGTCCCTAGCTGTAAGACCTCTCTACTAGGTATCCTCCCATTCCTATTAAAATTTAAGTCCTGTTAAGTTTGTTCACTTTCAAGCTGTTTCTGCTTCCCTCTGCGGAGACACTGTCCTGACACAAAGGTGCTGCAGGCTATTTCTGAAGTGCAATATCTCAGTGGGAAGTGACTTTAGATGACCTAATTTCAGACTAACTCCTCATACCAGCTCTCCATTCTGTTGCTTCGATTTAACGTGGTGAAATGAGGTGGATCTTCAGTGGTTCCCAAGTAGGGTGGAATCTATGCACAGTGCTATATCACCTCACATCAGCCATGCCTGCTGACGGGTAAAGTAGGATCACACAAAAAATGAGAAAGAACCCGGTAGACATCAGGTCCTTACCTGTCACTACCAGTTGCATGGTGAGGTTCTTATACAGGCCATGTTTTGCATTGCTCAAGACGATGGTGTAGTTTCCAGCATGCTTTGGTCTCACATCTCTTATGCCCAGTTTGTACTTCGTTGGATCTGGCTCCCTGCTGACGGGTAAAGTAGGATCACACAAAAAATGAGAAAGAACCCGGTAGACATCAGGTCCTTACCTGTCACTACCAGTTGCATGGTGAGGTTCTTATACAGGCCATGTTTTGCATTGCTCAAGACGATGGTGTAGTTTCCAGCATGCTTTGGTCTCACATCTCTTATGCCCAGTTTGTACTTCGTTGGATCTGGCTCATAGCAAGTGTGGTTATCCTTGATCAGTTTGCCATCTTTGTACCTGTTTTGAAAGTCCCATCAAGGCTCATCATGTGCATGCATGCATGTTAGCTCTCAAAAAATCTAACTGTTACCCAAATTAGGGTGGGTAAAGAGTCCTCCATCAGAAACAGCAAGGGAAACACAGATCTATAATCACTGCTTGAATTAGACATCTATTTCTTTTATCCTTCCACTAAAACTGAGTAGCATCTGCAGTGCTATGGGATGGCTTCATCCAACAAACAGGAAAAAGATATTTTAATGGATCTGAATGAACAGTGCCTCTCGCATGCTCAACTATGATCAGAAATGTACATCTAGATGCCCCCAAATTACGCTGGATGTGCAATACTAAGTGCAGGAAATCATGGGTTAGCCAAAATTTATGTCATCAGTTTTAAAACAAGGTATTAATTAAGCAGAATTATTTTTCAATATGTCCATATAACCCTTTACTGTTACTGAAAAAGCTAAAGTCTGTGACCTGGAGAATTTACAGTCGATAGGAAGGTCAGTGAGGAATCCACAATCTTGAATCTTCACTAGCTAAGAGTAGGATAGCAGAGTCTGCATGGGCAGACTCCTTTCCGCTGCTAATCTGATATGCAGATTTGGGTTATGAATATGAAATAGGCCAGACTTTGCCACACACAGAGTTTTAGGCTTGGTGGAAAGAGAAGCTGGGGCGTGTGTCCTACTGCCTGAGAATGCTGGAAACCTCCTTTACAGTCGTTTAAACAACTGTACCGAGAGACCTCCAACATCAACAGCTGTAGCTTCGAACGTGCAGGGAAGGCAGCTCTGGTGGTCCCAGGCAGTTACGAAGCAGCTCCATGCTGAGCCCCGAGAACAAAGCCTTGGCAGAGAAAAGGGGGACGGTCCCCACTTCAACTCACAAAAACATTTCCATCTCCTAAATAACAGCAACAATTAAAAATATGTCCTGGCAGCACCGATTTCACTGGTCTGACTGAATATTAGAGAATTTCATGTTATTTAATTGCTAAAAAAAATGCAGCAAACCCATCCCTGACCAATACCTTTTGCTGACTGCCAGGCCCCCCTGAGTGGCACTCAGCTGGCCAAGGAAAAGTGCACTGTGCAGGTGCTAACTCACCCAAGCCACCTTCTCTGCCAGGACAGGCAAACGCATGCCAGCTGTTGTACAGGATTTCATACACTTAGAGATGTATAAGGTGTTGGATGGGGTGTTAAAAACCCCTGTAGAATGAAGCACAGCAAATGTAGCAAGAGAGAGGACAAGCGATGAAAGGGTAAAGAGGGAAATGAATGTCTCCTGGAGTTGCTGACATGTCGCCCCCCCTATTAAGCTGATCCATTACAGTCCTGGTGGAGCCTTTAGTTTGCTCGGGAGGATTCACTGCATTGTCAGTAAGGATCTGACATTGCTGGTGGTACAGGATTGGACAAAATTATTTTGAAGTTATGAAGAGAAACAATTTCTCATGTTGAGAATGTGTGCTGCAGCTTTCTATTATGCACTGCCTCCTTGCAGACTGACCACCACTAACGGTGATAAACTGGCAACCCTTCCCCAATAGCTTTCTACCTGAATCTTCCAAACAGTTCTGTGTCCAGGGTAAACGAAAGCCCTATTTTTCCTGCAGGGACCTTTTCTGCATGACTAGGAGCGAAAAATAGCATGGGAAAGAGGTATGGCTTGCCCGGCTTCAGAGCATATGTCAGCACACAAAGGAGTCACATCTCCTTAGCTGAACTGAGAGACCACAGCTATGAGCATTCCCAGCTCTCATCTTTCTTCTGTGTCGTAAGGAATAGTGAAAATCTATTCTAGACAGGAGCCCAAAAGAAGGTCGCATATTCCTGATCTTGCTCAAGATGATGGTACTCACCAGGTGACGTTTGGACGAGGAAAGGCGTCCACCTTTGCAGCTAGTTTCAGTGACTTGTGTCCTGATGTAATCTCATAGTAAGGCCCTTTCTTATGTGAAACCATAAGGAAAGGTTTGTCTGGAAAGAGAAATGAATAGGAGGACAAGTAATGGCAGATCTGCCACAGTACAGTGCTCACATCTTTGAATTGCGTTGTGTCTACCCTGGATTTTTTGCAATACAGATCTGTAGAAGCTGCAGACCACCAAATGGAATGACAAGCTGTTACTGCAGTTCCCCTGCAAAGCTCAGCCACCGTCAGGAAGGTCTATCTCCAAATGAAGGACTTCATATTTAAAGCAGAGAATATGCATCTGCATTGCCCCTAGAGCAGTGTGTAGAAGTGCCTGAGGTATCTCTTGTCTGTGTGAATGCCAGCATGCCAGATTTTCCAGGGCATCAGCAACCACACTTGGTGCCAGCTTTTTCAAAACAGTTCAGCTCCCAGTTAATCCATGTCCTCAGCCATGTCTCAGTCTTGAGCTCTCTAAAGTTTCTTTGAAAACACAGTGCTGGGTGCTGACTCTCTCATAGATTGATTAGAGATTATGGATGATTAAGGATTGTTTTAACTAGTTGGCATTTTTCCTAATGCCAATGGTATATCAACAGATTTAATAATGTGGCATTATCCTTTAAGCTTAACAACCTTGGTTCTTGGGTATACTAGTTTAGCTGCAGAACTTACCATACACTGTAACTGTGACATTGGCCTCCAGCCTTGTTACGTTGAATATTTTGCATACATACAGGCCCCCGTCTTGCATGGTGACATTTTCAATTTTCAGGCTACTGCCAACTTTATACACCGTGCCACTCTGATCTATTGTTCTTCTAGGGTAAGGGTGCTGGAAGTCAGAAAAAAGGGGGTCAAAAAGCAGCATAAACTGGATCTTTTTGTTCATGCTTTCAAAGTGTGCCAGTAAAGAAAAGCAGTGATTCATATCAAAATTATCATATCTCCCCATCACAGAAATAAATAATATAAAAGACTTTTTGGAAAAGCTCTTGTGTGAGGTTTCATTATCAAGTCTAATAAGAGAGAGAAACAGTGGAACCGTGGCACTTCTGTACTGAAATCTGGGCAGGCAGGTCAATAAGGGGATGCATCACAGATCAGCCCTTCTCAGGCACCAAACCCCAGGGATCTCAGTGCAAAACTGCCACTGCCATCTCTAGGGTCAGAGTTGTGCTTTGGGTTTTTTGTTGGGTTTTTTTTTTTTTTTGGTCAGTCAGTATTTTTCTGTCTTAAAAAAATACTACTTTCTAAAAGAAATATATTATGACAGAAATATAATATATTATGACAGCTAAGTGCCAATACAATTTCCTGAAGAAAATTATCACTTCTGATAGGATTTTTGATCCCAGAGATTTGGCCAAGAAATTTTACATTTATCACGTTAGAAATCTAAGGAGGGTTCATAGAAAAACAACTCTTTTCCATCATATGGGGTTCAAGAAACAAAATTCAGTACACCACATTGCTTGCACTTCTGTAAGTTCTATGTTATATTTTCTGTAGTTTCTTCACCAAAACAAAATCAGACATTCTTTCTTTAAGTAAACAAAATAAGTCAAAAAATAATCAATTTTTAGGAATCACATTTTACACTTTTCCTAGAGGCTTAGATGCTTCTTTGAAATGTATATTTTGCTGAACTAAAAAGAAAAAAAAAGCAATCATTTTAATTCCGAGCATCAAATAGAGCCATGAGTAGTATCTCAGATAAATGAACTGATTTGGAAAATACCCCTTCTTCCCTCTGCTTTTCCTTAGGAGAACTGAAAGGTTTTAGTACATCAAAGCAAATGCTCAGTCTCTTACATATTTCTACTTCAAATTTGGCATTTTTGTATTGCATTCCACAGAAAGCTCAGGAACCTACACTCAGATTTAAATTTCATTCTTTGGTGGAGATTTCAGCAGATATAATTGGCTTTTGTTTTACTTTTTCCTACTTAATAAATGCCAAGATGGATGAGCAGATTGACAACTTGCAAACTTCATGGCTGCCTTTGAGACTTGCCACTGTGAGCTGGGATCAACAAACAGGCCAGAAGAAATGAGACAGCTATTCTTCTCAGCAAGAAACATACACTCCTAGCTTTTCTTGCAAGCGCATATTTAGCCTGAGATTTGCAGGTTCAAGATGGTCAGATAAGTTTTAGAGTCATCCAAACTAAAAATACAATCAATTGTAGGCTTACAAATGGTTGGCTATATTTCAGAATAAGTAGTAGTTAGGGTTTACTCAGCCCTGTGAAGAGATCTTCCTTTTGAGTAGGGGGAGACTGCATGAAAGCAGAATACTGAATTTTCATCAACTCACTCTCCCACTAGGACACGTCCATATGAACTCAATGCGCCCGTTGATGAAGGTTTCTGCGGTGCATTCCAAACAGAGAGTTTCTCCAACCAGCAGTTTTTTGGGAGTTGCTTTCAGAGCCAGGTTCCGTACTCTGCTCTCTGAAATGAAAAAAGCAAAGGTATAACCACGCAGCACTCTCTAAATCAGTGACATTTGAGATGGAATCCGCACTCCGACTGCCTCTCCAACATCCGCTCTTTTCACAGTTTCCAAAACACCTCACCTTCTTCTGTCATTTCCATGGAAATTGTTGGAAATGCCCACACAATGGAAACATTAGGTCAGTTGTATAAATGCCTGAACATCAGCTGATCAAACTAACTGATCACACGTGGACACAATACTTTATGAATTACTTTTCTTGCATTTGCCATGTTTGGCTCCAACCTTCACTCATCAGCTCCACAGCCATTCTTAGAAAAAGTTTTCAAAAGTTTTCATCCTTTTGAGTGCCTCAACATTTGCATATCTGCAAGAGGATTAATTTCTGTAAAACACAAAACATGTTTCTCCTGCCCTCTGATGACCAGCTACCTTCCCTTTCTGAATGGGATCCCCAAATCTTGGTCTTATATATTTATTGATGCCTTAAATACATCAACTCTGAAATAAGCCTGCATCATGTTTATGGTGCCCCATTCCAAACACACGTCTGACCACTGTACAGTAGCACATTATAGAGTAAGATATTGCCTGTGTCCTTTTGGGCTAGAGAGGGATGACCTAATGGGTTTTTTAGCTTTGCATTCATGATTCTAGTAAAAAATAATTACTCCAACAATGAAGAAAAAGAGAGAGAGAGAGATTTACAGGACTTTTATTTGGCGGCCATACAAATTTACAAGCCTGTTGTTTAAAGCTGAGTGCTAATTGTATAGAAGGATGCCATGATCTAATGGGAATGAAGTCACAATAAACTTTCCTCGGTCAAAAATATAATATATGAGGAGAGAAACAACACACATTCATTGAAAACAAAGGAAAAAGAAATTCTAATTGGCTTCATATAAATCCCCAGCACTCAAAAATTTAATTTTTAATTGCTTCAAATTCAGATTTTAATTCTGAGCTGAAGCTCAACTGTAAATACATAGTATGTCACCAAGTGAAACTATATAAAAAAGCAAAGATTTGAATTAGCAGTTTAATGAGATTTTTATAGCATGATCTTGTGTGTTTAATGACCAGAAGCAAAAAGAAAGCTACTGTTTGGTTTATCCTAAACCAGCAGTTGTTTTAATGTAAACATAGCTCAATCCAAGCAAATAGAGCCTTGGTGGGGGTTGAATAAAATACTCCTATTTTGTACACCTCAACACTTGGTAATTTTTCAAAACCAGGAGTGGATCAAATCCAAGATCTATTGAATAAGAAAAAAGGAGAAGAATGAGTTTGCTTTTAGCGTTCCAGCTTGGACTTGCTACAGATACATACCAATGAGATATATCAAATATAATTGAGGCTAACCAAGAAATAATACCCAGGAGCTTAGCTATGAAATAGAAACATTGTGGTCATTCCTTGGCGCACAGTAGTCACTCACCCAATCTCTGCGCTAGGTAATAGGAGGTGAACACACTTCCATTGACATTTGCAGTGCATGTGAGCATTCCAGAGTAAACAAAAGAATGAGAGGGGATGACAAATCCTCTTCTTGGGTCCCACACCATCCCCTTGAAGTTCATCTCTACAGAATGAGGATACTGAAAGAGAACAGACAGATAGGAGGCTTGTGAGACCTTCCCTTTCCCCTCAGACCATAGAGGCAACCAGCCAAGGCTGTTCTGCTTTAGAGGCAGGGTAGATATTTGACCTTTCAGAGTGGTTGGTGGTCTCATTCCACACATATCTTAAGCAACATCAACATAAGCAAATAGAAAAGCCCTCCCTAAGGTATGACTGTCTTTGAAATCCAAAACTTGGACATCATAACTGGGGCTTTTGACTCAGTAGCCCCAGTCCTCTCAGATCTTAGGCAAGATACCATGTAAGATACCATTGTGGGTCCCATTTCCCTCATCTCTTTACTGGAAATAATTATGCCTATCTTATATGAATTTTGTAGGGTAATATTTTTTGTAAGGTAATATTTTTGGAAGTGTTTAAGAACAAAATTAGCTTCTCCTAATGCTACATGTAGCTACCACATGTTTTCCTGGAATCTCACAGTACTTTAAAAATATGTGTGAAGTTAGACCCCAAAAAATCAGAATTATTCATGTCACTAACTCACCTGATGGCAGTCATCTATAAGCTATGGTCTATGGCTAGTCATCAGATTCTCTCTATATCACAGAAAGGGAAGAGACACTTTCAAAGCAGCCTATTGATTTTCGCTAGGCACAGAAGCAGCCTGGATGACTGAAGATGGTAAATCATAGGATGGCAGAGATAAGGGGACTTAGTAACATAGACATTTTTTTGTCCTAAATTAATAAATACTTGTAATGTTCTGAGATTCTTGAAAAAACAGTATCTATAAGTTCTGCTTATGAGGAAGAAGTGAGGATACGAAAGGCAAATGTGGAAAACAAACTAGAGCAAAAATCCATTTAGTAAGAATGAACCCTCCGTATACCCTTGGACAGCACCAATGTCAAGGACGTTAGCTTTTGTTGGTGGGGATAATTAGTTTATTATTATTATCAACACATGGGGAAATCCTCTATTTGCTAGAGAAAATGCAATTTACTTTCCAATAGTTTTGAAAATCCTGGATTATAATGTAGAAAAGAAATACGTGAAATTAAATGCAGACAAATAGCTCAGGAGTCTGTAAAAGGGCAGATCACTGAAATTCACCCATTTCAGCCTATCTGCAGGCAGGTGAATGGAAGCACAGACTGTAGGTCTGACTTTTCCAGCAGGACACAGGAAGGCTCTTTAGGACTGAGAAAGCGCTGTAGGAGTGTTGAGATCACTTTTGGCTGAAAAATGAAGGGTTTGGGGAAACCTCAGTGTGCCTACAGTTGCCACATAATAACTAACTTCATTTGCACAGTGCTTCTCCCTCCTTCTTATCATATACTGGCTTCTCAAAGATGAGGCAAGTTAATGTTTTCCTTTTCAGAGCTACCTTGTTTTAGCTTTTGGAGCTAACCAAGGGAAAAGCTGCACTAGGGACTGCAAGTGGGAATTCCCCAATGATGTAATAGCTTTGCTCTTATTCTTGTTGTTATGCAGCATGTAATTTATTTTTCTGTCTCCAAACAAACAGTAGTCTTGTATGGCAGTGCAGTTTAAATAGGATTCAGTTTAAATAATACTCCTGTTCCAAAGTAATTTCAGCTTCAAGCTTTGAGAGCTGATGCTCATACCTCTCATATGAATACACAACTGAGCAGGTTGGCATTGGTTTGGGTCACTTGTTATTACATTTTCAGCACAGACCAAAGACAAAGGAATTATGACTGTGGGGCAGTGACTGGTGATGTTGCTTTGGAGATGGAGGCACAGCAAGACAGTTGCTTTCTTTTGGAACAGCAGTTCTCTGCTGACAGTAGTAGGAAACATGGATTTCATGTAAATACTTTCAAAGTAATCAAGCTGTAGCATCTCTGTTCAGAACCATTAGGAAAATTCAGGAAAATTACAGAATGAGATCTGAGACCTGAAGCTTAACCATGCTTTAACACCCATTAAGATCAAAGCTGTAAGTGGCAAATGCACACTGAACCAGATCAGTGACGAAACAGATCTGACAAGACTGAAAATGCTTTTTTTGCCCACAATTAAAATCATGTTAAGCAAAATTAAAAGTTTGAATTGTGTGTCTTAGCATGGGTTTATTAATAACAAAGACGATATGTAGAGTTAGCTGGGATCTGTTTAGTATTAGCAAGAGGTACCTTTCCCCATACATATTTAAAGGCCAGAGAGTGCAATGATTTTAAAGTATAATGGTAACATAAGGAACTTAATTTACGGTGGAAAAAAGTACATTTTCTACAAGAATAATAAAATGTGATAAAGCTGAACTTCATGGTTTGGCAGCTTCGCTCCCTGATGGCTAGGGGAAGGGGAAAGAAAAAATAACCTTACTCAGGAGGCCCTTTTCAACACTACACGCAAATTAAACGTCTTCATAAAATATTCAAAAATATATATTTAAACAAACAAAAAGCGTCAATGCTACTTGAAGGAAATCACAGTGGCTTTCCTCCCTTTGAAGTTTGTTGTCTATTGGAGATTAAATTTGGAAGAAGAGGATGTTCTAACTTTGTCTGATCGCCTTATTCACCTCTCCTCCCCCATCCTTACCTCCACCCCTCTCCCGCCCCGCTTCCTCTTCGCACGGGAAGCCGCCACCTTGGCTCCACACGGCGCTATGAATTTCCCAGACAGGGCAAAACAAGCGGTGACTTTCCGTAGATGGAGCCCGGGGCTGGCGGCTCCCCAAGCCGACAGGAGCCCGGGGCGGGCGCCTCCCGAAGCCGACACATGCCTCCCAAAGTGCATCTCCTTGAGTAGCTCACAGCCTCAGGAGGGTTCCTTTGGGGAGCTGCAGTCCAGCTGCTCTCCCTTGAAAGGGAAAGATCTTTTTGGGGACAATTTTCTTTGCAATTCAAAAGGGAGATTTCAGTGGAGATTTCATTCCAGCAGCAGCTTCCAGCAAGGTAAAGGACTTCAGTTTGTGTTTGAAGAAATTACTGGGAGAGAATTTAGCTGGCAAGCAGGGAGAGCAGGGCTGCCTATAAATAAGGGAATAAATGAGGAGGTCTGCTTGGTCGAGGTTCCAAGGCCACATTTAGGCTCATGTGACTGTGCTGAAGTCAGCAGCAGTACTCCAGCAATGAATTTGGTTGAAGTAGGCTAAAATAAGATGGGGATGTTTCATTTTTATAGCCAAGGATGACAAGGTGATAACACTTATCCAGGCTAAAGTGATAAGCTATAACTGGAGAGGAGCCTTATTCCCTGCCTTTTAATCCCTACTGACAAAATTTAAAAATAGAGATCTGCTAAAGCAATAAGGCTAGTGCTGTCCCTCTGCACGTCTACTGGAAATTTGCCATTGGTCTCAGCAGGAGCCCGAACACTGTCTCAGGCCTCCGTGATTTCATGTGCTGTCTCCCAGGAGAAGGAGACATCTAACAACTATGACATCTAACTGCTAAGAGGAGCAGAGGTCCTAGATCCCTCTACCAGCACAGCATCAGCCTGTCTGCGTGTGCTCGACTATCACACCATATCCAGCAGAACAACCTCATCTCTCACAGCCCCTTCAGAACAGGCTGTGGAAAAGGGGCAGAGGGAGAGGATGAGCTCTTGTTCCCAGTAGGACAGCTCAAGCAATCAGCCTAGCAGGGGAATGGAAAGGCACATAACCTATTAGGTAAAAGGCAGGATTGGAGCCAGGAGACCTATGTTCTGTTCCTCGCTCTGTCATAGGCTTCTCTATAGAGCTATTCTAAAGCCCTTCAAATGAGTGACTAGATCTCCACTGATTGAGGAAGTCCCAGACTTTAAATTTCCATTTTTATTGCACTAAATGGCCTTGGCCTCCACAGCCCATTCTGTAACCTTGACATTCAGAGGTAATTGCTGCCAAAGGGATGGATGCTGTAGCCATTTATTTCCGAGGCTGAAACTTGGTTTAAATTTATGAAATCAAGCAGAAATGGGCAACTGTTCTGAGGAGGTTCAAGGTATAGAAGAGATAGGCTTTCATAAGGATAGCTAATAGCCATTTGTTATACAAAGACTTTTGAAAAAAAATAGCCCCTTGTTATTTATCTTTGCCAATTTGTGGAGGAACATCAAGCCACAGGATGAGAAAAATATGTGATAAACTCAGCCTAATCCCCAAAACACCCTTGTACGCAGTTCAATAGTAATACACTGCAAGAGCAGAACTGTGCTTCTGGATTTTCAGTGTCTTTGCTATTTTTTTTCTGAAACTTACCTAGCTTCATGGATTTTATTTTGTATTTTTGCCCATTGTGTCGGCAGCCCAGATTTCTGAATTGTTTGAGTTTCTCTGAAACACTCACTTACCTGGGTAAGCTTGGGTTTGATATCTGGCGAGGTAACTCGGCAAGGGACAACAAACGTTTTCTTAGCATCTAAAATGTAGATTAGTTCAGGATGTTCCGGGTGAATCTCCACAAATGGACTTCTGTAGTCTGCAGGGAGAAGAACGTTGATTTGCAAAACTGCTCCTTTACTGATCAGTGACCAGAAGGGCACTGTAATCTCAGCGGCTAACTGCCCATAGAAGTGTGTCAAGCGTGTACCAAGACATCCAGTTACATCTTGCTTGTTTGCAAATGCCAGTGTCATCTAGGGATTATAGCCAATGACCAAGAATTAGAATACCCCATTTCTAACCCTATTTTACGAGTTTGCAGTGTAATCTTGTAAAAACTCCTTTTCTTATCCATTTTTCATCGTAAAAATGAAGTTAATAAATCAGCTCCACAGGTCTTCATGGCACTGGAGTTAGTTCTTTCCCCAGTGCTCTGAATTTCTTTCATAGGTGATATTATACCGCAGCACTCCTGAATTCCACAGCAATTAAGTGTTACAATGGTTTACAGCAGTTGAGGTAAATCTACTGAAAGAAAAAAGCTTCTTTCTGTAAATGAGAATCTCTAGAATACTGAAGAAAGCATGCAAAAAGGGAATGTAGACCCACGATATTCAAAGCTAGGCAAGAACAATCTGTTTAACCTAACAGTGAACTAACTTGGTCACACTCTTGGGGAACTGTGGGATTTTCTACAGATCTGCCACAATAAATCAGACTGAATATATATATACAATAGAAATAAATAAAAATCTGAGGTAGTTTAAGTTAATAAAGCTTCTGAGTCTCATTCACTGATTTTTCATTGTACAAATACAGTGATGGTCATCAGAAAATTAAAATGTTTGTGAAATCCTAAAACCTTCATGATTTTTCCAAAAAGCATTCTTTGACTTGATATTCTTATGGTATAAAGTTTCAAATACCATTCAGCTAATGCAATACCAACTAGACCACACAGTGTAGGCAGTCATCCACTTTTGGTTTGGATTATACTGTTGACAGGAAAGGATGTGCACCCTATACAATATCCTCAACCTGCTTATCCTTGGCTTGGGACCTGCCTCCACACACTTAATTATATTTTGAAAATGGCTTCACCTAAAGCATGGGAAATAGCTGACATGAAAGGTTTGTGAACAATCTAGGTTGCAAAAATGTGCTCTAAAGTATTCTGACAGTACTTTAAAAAAGGATGTGCTATGAGGAAATTAAGTTTTCAAAGAATGCTTAACTACTCCCAAATGGGCTAAATTGGTAATGAATGCAGTCGTCCAGGGCTGACACATCCATCGCTATGGATTGGTGGGAGGTCTTCAACAATGGCCAAACACTTTATTGCTTTGGAAAAGGAAAACACCTATAGTGTAGGCGACCTGTTCTCCGATGTTGAATAATAAGGAAAAGTGTCCTTGATGAAGATCAGTAATGTGCTTCCTGAACTACCCTTGTATCCTCATATCATGTTTCCTCTCTAATTCCTGATGTAATATTAAGGGATTTTTAATAGCGAAAAAAAATCAATTACTTATTGCTTGGTGGATGTAGCCCCACTGTCCATCCAGAAATTGCCCAGAATGGCAGGTCTCTGTGCAAATACATGAAAAAGTCCACACACTACCAAATCAAGAGGACAATGCTACTTCCAGGTCTCGGGGAGCCCTCCCGCTCCCCACGGAGGCGGAGGACCAGCCGCTTCAGGAGGGCGCTGCTGGACAGTTCCCCGGCGGGGCAGCGCCCGACCCGTCCGGCTGCCGGGGCAAGACCCTGTCGCAGCGGCAGCCAGCGCCTTGCCTGGCTTATGGCCCCCCTGTTCAGCATCCGCTGGTCTGACGCTGCAGCACGGTGGGGGAGTATCTCCAGTAAAGGCTGCGTATACCCTCATCTGTGATAAGACGCCTCTCAAACACAAAAATCAGAGCCACAGGCTGTGTTTAAGAGCCTGAATGGTGTGATCGTCTTAGTTTAGCACCAATGTGCCAGGCCAGCTGGCCCCGATCCTTTCACCTAAATGCATGCTGTCATTTTACACCTCAGGCTGTTGCGGCAGCTGCTCTGTGACTGAAGAAAGCCCCAGCTGAAGTGTGTTGGAGCACGCTATCTATTCATCCCATTAATCCTTGCATTACTGTATCAGGCCACTCTCCCTCCTTCATCTGTTGGCAAAACTGGAAATATGTTCTAAAATCTCCATGAAAAGATGGCAAAATATTTCTCTAACTTTTTTAGCTAGTGAGGGAAAAAACCCTGGATGTGGAGTTTTAAAAATTCCGAGTATCTCTTTCTGGGTGTTGGCCATTTTGGCTACTCTCAACAAAGAGTCTAAAATTGTGAAACCCTCCAGGATTTCTCCTTTTCCAGTACTCCATCCTTGGCAAACAGTCTTCTGCTTCAAATCAGTGGGTATCCATTTTTCAATTTAAAACAAATGTTCACCCTTTGGACCCTAGCAGGGAGCTGTGTATTCCATGTTGGAGGATTTGTAATTAAACAGTAGGTGAAGTGCTTATTTACGTTGAACTTTTCTAGGTGACAAGTGGTCTACATGTAAGTGATGTAACTATGCTTCTTGGTGACCTGCAGAACAGTTTGAACATGGACTGTGAGATTTGCATTTGCTCTTCCACAGCTCCACTAACAAAGGAAAACAAAGTTGCTTTATCTCACTCGCTTTGTCTTTATTTCCCCACGACTGGTAACTCATCTGGGAACAGGTCATTCATTTGGGCATATCAATGTTCATTTCCTGGCTAATGACAACAGTCTTTGCTTAAGGAATGTCATGGAAATACGTAAGTGCTGTCACTTGGAATTAATCTTCAAAGAATTAGCTCGGTGCAGAGCTGGAGTTCCTTTGCTCCACAACCCACACCAGTTTCACTCACAAAAACATGAAGGATGAAAGGCAGGGGTTGAGACAGGAGAGTGGGACTGTTGCCTTTTGTATTTTTGATAGCTTCATTTTAGCTCTGAAAACTGGAAATAGGATTCTTAGTGGACAAAATGTACCACATGCTTCATCACGATGAGAGCAAATGTTGATTGGAGCTCCTTGTGTGTATCAGAAAGGTCACATGTGTTATGATGATGTTTTACAAAAGGCACTTGGGTCACTGTGCAAGTACAAGAGATGTGTGATTAATGTGGGGAGCTGTGACAAGGAGCTGATCAGTAGCACTGAACACAAGGCAGTAAAACAGAAGATAAAGTCCAGAAATCTGGATGATGTCTATCATTTCTAGTAATGTCTTTTCATGTCAGCTTTTATTCCATGCCATTGATTTATTCTGACAGGACTGATCTATAAAGAAGCATGTACTTTCGAGTAAGGGCATTGCAAGAAATGTTATGTGAGAGAGAAAATTAAAAAATTAGACCTGTAATCTCCCCACATTTAGGAAGTTTCAGATACATATCTGAACTTTCTGGTTAGGCAGGCACTGGATCTAATCAAGCCTTGAGCTGAGAAACCTGATCTCCAGACCACAACTTTGTAGCTTGTTCCAATCCCTAAAACTAATAGGAAATATTTATACTCAATCCAGTGTCTTATGCACTTTCACAAACAGGTCTGCTAAATTCTTCTACTGAATCACATTACGAAAATGTGTTTAGTGTTTGTCCCTGAGCGTTAGTGCTGCTTAATAACTCTGCAGTCTTGCTCTCCAGCTAAACCATACTTGGAGGTATCAAATGTGTTGATATTTTTATAGCCAATTTAAAAGCTTGTGCAAATGGTGAAAAGCCTTTCTACTAAAAAGAAAACCCTGGATTATTAAAAGAAGATTCTTGGATTATTTGTTATAGGAAAAAGCAGAGAAAGTAGATTTTTGTGTATTTGCAACAAACACTGGGAGTGCAAAAAAGTGTCAAGGGAAGTGTATTCATATTTATTTCTAGTCCTATGGAGAAAAAGAGAGAACAACTAATGTTCCACGTGACAGCAAGATAGGACAAGAATATAGGCCAAGAGGAAACTTGCTGTGAAAAAAGGAGCTTCTTGATACTAAACTATTCACAAATCTGGATCAAATTTTGACTAATTGTTTTGACTGAAAAGATGGGAATGAATTTTAAAATATTTGTGCCAGTATTTTTAGAGGGAATTTAAGAATAGCACTGTTTGTTTAAAAAGTAACATAAATCAAAAGAAGGCAGCTAAGCAAAAGTTAAATAATCCTAAAATGTAAGAAAATATTGAATTATGCAATGATTGAAATATCTTAGTCAAACATAATAAAATTTCTCAAAAATATTTCCTATTCAGGGAAAAAAAAATTATTTAACCCCATTCTCCTCCATCATCTCTCCCTACCTCCAAGACTGACCTCTACCAAATTTTCAGATTCACAACAGACCTAAAAATAATCTACTTTTTTCAGCTGTAAACAGCACAGATAATCATCATGGTGGTACTAAACTACTGAAGAACAGCTAAATGGGAAGCATGAATTTACAGTATATATAACAGAAGCTATATTTCATTCCTAATTGATTTTTAATAGCAGCCTGCACCTGAATTGCCATATGTCTAGCCAATAGCTCGAATTACACTATCCCAGATCATAAGCTACAATCTGAACTGGAAGCCAAAATATATAAATCTACCCTTCTACCATCGGTATTTGAAATCTAGATAGTGCTTTAAAATCACTGTGCAATTAACAACAGCAAAAGGCAGTTTCTGGGTTATAAAGATTGGGTTGGGAAAGGAGAGGATGGCTTGAGCTGCAAGTGATTGTTAAATCAATTGGATGTGGATGTGAGGTCTCCTGGGCATTATTCTCACTGTTTTGAAAAAAAGAGAAAAAGGTTTTATATTTTATGGGTCCTTCTCTTTCCTACAGTCAGTGAGGTTTCCTAGAGCCTTGTGCAGTAAGCAGATGGCTATAATTTGTGTTATCTCAGTGCTTTATCCAGTTTATAGCCTTAGCCTAAAGAGAGTTCTCTGTCTACCAAAGGCCTCCTCTCCTCCCTATTTCAATCTGTAATATTGGAGCTCTTAAACAGGGTGGGATATCTGTGTGAGTTAGTGGAGAAACTTCACTAAAGTGAAGACGCTAATGTGGCAGCTACTTGCAGGGCTAAACTACTACAGTTTTGACATGAGAGCTTAAACATGAGGGTAGGGCTACACTTTGGCCATCAGTGGAAAGTGACCCCGGAAAGAAAGGAAAAGCCAGTTGCAGGTCAAGCACTCGGTAAATAACCCTGGGTATGTCACTGAGGCCAGGGAGGCTTTTCTTCTCCCTAACTGTGAAAATCTGTGCAAAAGGAAAAATAATATCATCACTAAAGAGTACCAGCACGCAGAGCAACAGAGCAAACCTCCATGCATCCTGCAGCCTGCTTGTGCTTTACTCCAGCTGCTCTAAAACCCATGTAAGCAGGAGCAAGCCAACCCCACTTGCATTGGGAAGGAGACGCTCTGAGCAAGAGCGCTTTCCAGGCAGCTGGACTGTTCACTTAACGGATAAGCAAACATAAAGTGGCTCAGCTTTGGGCTTTAACAAAGTGACAAAGAATAAATACTGAATAGGGAACTAATCAACTGCCAGCTGATACCTTTGTTATGGTTTGTGCAGACAAAAAACTGAGTTCTTCATGAAACTCCTAAGTAGTTCAGACTGACTGTGGCATGGAAAAATGATCTGCTGGAACATCGGGAGTGTCACTGCCAGCTTTACAAACATGTTCACCACCTTAAGTTAATCAGCAATCAGTTAACTCCTTGTAAAAAAGTCTCTCAGAGACAGAAATTCTTGAAACAAAAGGGACAGGGTCACTTCTCTTTAAAAATGATAACCTTAGCCTCAAGGAAGATCTCTAATTCCAGGTGGTGTAAATCAATTGCACTCAACTGTTGCAATTTGGAGAGCTGTGGCATGGGAAATGCAGGTGTCGTCCTCTCTGCAGTTACCAGCCCTGAACTCCGAGGGAAAAAATTCTCAGCTAAGAAACACTTTATGAAAAGAGGGTATTTCCCTGTAGCTTGGCACATCTCTTCTTCCTGAGTTGGGAAGGTAATATGCCCTATGAATCTTACCCATAAACACCCATCAATTCCCATAGACAATTAAAAAGAATAATTTATCGTGGGCTGCAAAGCTCATTATATGTGAAGAAAGACAAGAGCTGTAGCACGTTAGGGACTTATCAGCTGCAGCACCAGCTCCAAGGCGAGGGAAAGGCCCCTTCCCCTCGCTCTCAGACTGGCTGTCTGGCTCTCCAGGTCAGTGGAAGTTTGCAGGAAACTGCAGCCAGGGCAGGGTGTTACTGTTTACCCAGCACGGCTCAAGAGAGAACACAAACAGCAAAGCGAAGGAAGCAGAGGCAGCGGGACAGCGGAGGGGAAGGGGGCCTGCTGTCCAGCCACACGGACAGAGCCAGGCAGAAAAATCAAGCATGCCGCACACAAAAGCAACTCAGAGGTCAAGTGCCTACGAGAACATTGTTTACCTTCAGGCAGTGAAGCCCTTCATGTTTAAATTCTCATTCTGTCTAGGAGGAGATTAATTGCTGCTTGAGATGAGCTTAGGGAGGGTCCCTTTTAACTCAGCGGTGTAATAGCAGTTGCCTGGGGAACGTGCAGTTCTCTCTTCAAGCCTCTGCAGTGACAATATGCGAACACAGATATGGGACTCCTTCGCCTCATGGTGACATCTGTTCTTTTGTTTAGTGTTATCTGTAATATAGGTGACTATCTACCAGGAAGTGGTGGAGGTCTGTAATTATGTCATGCTCGCTTGTCATTTGAATCCGATTCTCCAGAGGGCTCACGGGCCCCGTCCTGCTAGCTGATGAAGCTGAGGGACTTAAAA